TTTGCTAAAACACTTTCCATTTATTTATTTTAGTGTGTGAAAATCTATTATAAATATTTGCTCTCGTGAGTTCTCCATAGATGGGTTTCTGTATTTAAAGGGTATGTAGGATATTTCTCGCATATTAAAGAGGTCTTGTAATTTCCAGACATCGATGGCCAATATAATCTTTCAGTCACGCCGTCACTTTCTGAAAACAACTTTTACTTTAACACCTCATTCTACCCAGAGAATCGATCTGAAATCGGAAAGATAAAAGTTGGTCTAAAACAAAATATTCGACACAGATCGTGTGAGGTAACGGCTTATAGGATGAATTTCTCGACCCTGTAATCTTGATGAACGAACGGCGACTATATATTTATTCGGGAACCTCCTTAATTTTTCCAATATTCCTCTTAAGATATGCTTGTGTTACCTGCCTTCAGGGCATCCTGGTATCTTTGCCTCATGAACGCATTTGATGAAGTCTTTTTCTTTAGCGGCTGATACCTCCCCTTTTATTCGCTGTTGTTGTTGTTATTGTAATTGATGTTATCCATATCTGCTGAGGAGTTCTGTCCGGAAGCGGTTCTTCCGTCTTGCAAAACTATATTTTGTATAGAAATTTAAAATTGACAATAATATACACTCACTGTCATTAGATTAGTGGAACTTTTTGATTCTCAGTATGCACAGTTTTCTTTTTGTTTGTTTCATATTCATTAATTTCTAACCGACTTCAAAAAGAGAAGGAGGTTATAAATTCGTCGGAGTATTTTTTTGTGTATGTTACCGCATAACTTTGGAGTACGTCAACCGATCTTTTTTATCAAAAAGGTGTTGCCCTTAAGGTTGGCCACGCACTTACTTGGTTTAGTTCTGATTATTGGGTCATGTGGAAATTAACTGTACTATTAAATTTTTGTATGAGAATTGAGGTTGGTTTTGTTTTTTAACCGACTTCACGAAATGGAGAAGGTTATCAATTCGTCGGAATATATTTTATTATTTTTATTTTATATTTTTTTTTTTATGTATTTTACCGCATAAATTTGTACCACGTCAACCGATTTCGATTATTCTTTTTTATCCTTGTTGGTCCCATACTAATTTGGTTCAGATCTGATCATTAGATCATGAAGAAATTAGCGGTACTTCTAAATTTTGATATGAGAATTGAAGTCGGTTATAGTTTTTTGCTTAAAAATTACCTGTTATATGAGAATTAAAGTCGGTTTTACTGTTTGCTTATTTTTTTAATTGTATATAAATTTAATTAAACATTTCAACAAAGTGGTGTGCTATTTTATGACCGGCAGTCATGGCTAATTATATTTTAAGAAAACTTTCGGGTATGAAGTTGTGTAGCCCATTGAGTTTTAGAATAATAAAGGTTAAGTTTCAAGTCGCTACAAAATACCGTTGATTTTTTATAATATTTTTTTTTTGTTGACGGCGCTGCGTTTTTTCTTCCATATAAAAATTTTGTCGAGCATACTTTGTATGGCATGCAGTGCACGGACTTTACTACTTTATTGGTAGATCTATACCAACTTTTTAGCTATTTTTTATTTTCTACCATTTCTACCAACAAAGGCTAAAAATCTACCAATATTTTCCCGAAAGCAAAGAGATTTAAATGAACACCGTATATACATATTTCATCATGGAACATACCTAAAATGAACATGAAGAGTTAACTTTGACCATAACCAACTGTTTATGGAAATATTTTTCGTTTGCAATACGTTTTTTGTGGGAGACTGCCAAAGAAATGGTGTGCAAACTTAAATCATTTCAAAACTAATTTTAATCAAAAAATTTTGAACTGCAGAGTAATAGTTTGTTTTATTGTAAAACAGGGCCAGAATCAAGACATCCAGGATCGAATCATATTCGATGTGGAATTTTCTTTACAGCTTTTGGTAGCGAATTCGCTTTTTCAGTTCAAAATGTATTAGAGAGAAAACAGCTGTCATTTTCTTTCATTCGATTCGAATCGTGTTTAATTCGATCACGGATGCCATGATTTGGGCCCACTTTTATGTACTACATCTTTATACCTTTTTTGTTGAACATTTTATTGTTTTATAAAAAAGTACAATTTATTCCAAGGCGAATTAATATAATAAGGTGACAGCAAAAGTTCAAAAGCAAAAATTCCACTAACAAATTTTACCCATAATGACAATAAGAATTACAACAAATACATCATTTTGACATTAAAAATCCCCAAGGCGAAAATTCAGCTGCTTTGGTAACACCATCTTACCTGAATTAGCTTTCATTTATCCTAAATGATTAAAAACTGTATAATAATTTTTCTTTTAAAAAAATCTACCAACTTCTACCAATTTTTGTATGCAAAATCTACCAATATTAATTGTTTCGAAGTCCGTGCACTGATGGCATGCAATGCAAAAAAAAATTGATAAAAAAAAAACAATTGGGTATTGTTATTGGAAATCTCCTGAAGAGAATCAGCGGTGGTCGCAGAGCAGCATTTGAACGATTCTAAGTAATTTTTGAGCAAAAAACAAAACCGACTCTAATTCTCGTATAAAAATTTAAGATTATCGTTAATTTCTTCACGATTCAACTATCGGATCTCACCAAAATTAGAATGGGACCACCCTTGAGGAGGTACCACCTTTCCGATAAAAAAAGAATCATCGAAATCGGTTAACGTGGTCCAAGGTTATGCGGTAACATACATAAACAAAAAAATATATTCCGACGAACTGATAACCTCCTCCTTGTTTGAGGTCGGTTAAAAATTATTCTAAATACAAATGAAAAATGAAAAAACAGTATTTAAAGCGCACCCCAAAACCCCCAGGAAGATATTTTAATTGTATTGCAAATCAATCACTTTTAACTGTTTTAAATGCTGCTCTTCGACCTCCAACTACAAAGTAAAAAAATGCTTAAAATCGCCAACCAACAGAGATTTCACTTATTTATATACCATCCAGACTTTCAGAAACACTTGATTTCATTAATTCCCAATTCAATATAATATAAGTATACATATTAAAAAATTTGTTCGGCTAGATAAACTCTCATCAAACCTGTTTGTTTGTATATATATCCTCATAAATATCGATATATTTTTGAAATGTTTTTATCGATATCGGTATAATTATCCCTATATTCGATGTGCTTACCGTTTCCACCATCTTTATTTATGTAGGAATAATAATCTATATATTTTTATTAAATGTTTTTCGATATCGACATAATATATATATATATATCTACATATGCATTTATCGTTGTAAGTAGTATCAGCCACTGATCTGATAACGCGAATTTATTTTAGCTACTTCGCTTTTGCCTTTGGAAACGCCGTACCTTTTGAACAGAAATGAAAGCAAGCCAAGCTATGAGCAACCGCAAACTAAATTTTTTTGCAAAGACACATGCAAAGACAAAAGCAAGCAAACTCAAGTTAGCAAAAGGCAAAGTCAGAAACTCCAATTCACTATTTCGCTTGCATTTCTTGCATCAGCCCGCTCGCGCATGCGCAGCTACCATCACCATGAGCGCTGCGCTGCACGTTTACAAAACACACCACGCCGATGTGGTAGCCAGCTAGCAGACACCCAATCGGACTGCCTATTAGTTATCTTTGCCTTGGTACATACTTAACTCTACTATGCTCGCTTCGCATTGACTAACAACAGCTGCGCTTTCCACTGTTGTTAACAGAATTGTATCGACCACTAAAGCGTGCGGTTGACGACGCGGTTAAACGCGGCTAAAAAATTACAATTTCGGTAAAACCTTTACCCTACAGAATTGGTGTGTTTGTGTGTGAAGTTATATTTTGATACACTTAGTCAAAAAAAAAAATTATAATTTATAATTATACTTTTGCAGCGCGCGCACACAAAGCTAATTTTTTTAATTAAATATGATTTCTTAAAAACTGTGACAAAAAAAAAAACAAAAAAACGAACTGAATGCATATTGAAACAAAAATCAAATACATAGGTCGAAAATAGCCAAAGGTGGCTGTAATTAAAATAAGAAATAGCAAAAGCCGCAGCAGACGTTAATACGACAGTCCGTAGGCAGCCGCTGCGCGCTGGACGTTGCTCAATAACGCGTCGAGGTTATCGACGATTCGATCAGTCGAGTTGATGATCTTTGTTGCTTCTTTTTTTTTATTTACCGTTTTTTTTTTAATTCACTGCACCGCTAAAAAGTGATTGCAACTACTACAAGTTTTGTGCAGCAGCAACAACGCAAGCGAATGTGATAAACCAAAACAAAATATACGGGTTGAGATATGAAATAAAATATATCTGTGATAAGTAAATGAGCAAATGAGGAAGGAATCGGAAAGCGTGAAAAATACTTATAAGAAAATTTAATCTATTTACATAAATATGTACATATGAATCGCAAATGCGAAGTGTTTGAAATAGGTGTCGTTTGCATTTGAGTGTCTATAAATTTTGTAATAAAAAAAAATCCTGAAAGTGGAAAACAAATTTGCCCATACTGGCAAATGTAAAACGCATTAGAGAGCGAAAATATTACTTATAATAACAAAACATCTGTGTAGCAGTGTGAAGTGAAAATATTAATGTCTAGTAAAAATCATAACTTTGCTTTCTACGAAATATTACACAAACAATTCAATACAATTTTTTCATTTTAATCAATGAGCACTAAAAAGTAGCTCGCCAGCATAATGTAAAACCTGTACTCAGAAAAATAAACATACAAACAAACATATGGAGCCTTAACCGCTAAAAAGACGTAAGCGAATTTTTTTTTAATTTTCATTTTGTTGCAAAAATGTTCCTAGAACATCTAGAAGCATTTCTGCATCAAAAATAAAATTTTGAAAAAAATGTCGCTTACGCCTTTTTGGCGGTTAGGCGGCTTTATATGATTTTGATTTTATGCACACTTGTGTGGGTACAATTGCATATGCTTCTGCGCCTGTATGTATGTATGCTTTTATATGCGAGTGTGTGTGTGTGTGTACTTGTGGCAAAAAGTGTGGCATAAATAGATTATGTCGCCTGGCAAGCATGAAAATAAGCAGTAAATACTTATGTATGCAGCGTCCGTCCGTGCTTTCGTATGCGTGTGCATGTGTATGTGTGGCAAAGTGCAACAAACAGCAGCAAAGCCAGCGATAACATGCCGCGCCGGCGAATGGCTTCATGACTGCTTGATTGCATGGCTTGAGTGCTGCAGAAAGGAATACAGCCAATTGAAAAATCATAGCGCAGCAGCTGAACTAAAGTAAATCGAAGCAATGGACGACTGTGTAGATGCCAAGCAAAAAAGAAATCCATACGCGACACTTCAAATGCTGCGCGCGACGCAAAAATATAGAAATATAAAAATCAAATGAAATTGATAGCCGCCACTAACTAAAAATTTAAGTTTCTACTGCTTCACTTTACCCCACTTTTTGTCTCAACTAAATACCTATGTACATATTTTATTCTGCTCGTATTTTTTTCTAATTAATTATATTTTTCCGAATTTGTTTTTCCAACGGCTACTCGCCGCCTTGGCTGGCCGCCGCAATGCCGTTGCCGTGACTAACAAACTAAAATTGTCTGTCTTACTGTCTAACTCGCTAGCCGCTAGCTTACTATGAATCGTATAGCTGTTCGCTGGTGATCACTTTGCTACTTTGTAGTTACGGCGTCTAGCATTGAATTACATTTGCATTTGTGGCCTATGTCTTGTCTGCATTCGCCTGCACTGACGTCTGTGATTGCATTTGCATTTTTCTATTTGCCAACTGTGAAAATTGTGTGTAAAAAAAAAAAAAAAAAAAAAAAGACAATGTGTATATTTGCAAAACAGGCCCGCTAGCAGTCAGACTATTTTTTTCTGGCGATTTTACCTTTTTTTTTGGTCTTTTTTGTTTCGTTTTTGTTTCGTTTTCTGGCTGGCGTGCAGCGCTTACTTTTATTTTGAAGTGTTGACGTTGCAAATGGTTAGACTTGCGTAGCGAACGTGATCTTGTGTTCTGCAGTCCAATGAGCCGTTGAGTATTAGAATGTTAGCTTAGACAGCCAACGGTGCGTATGATTAATGTGTGATTGCAATTGAGGATTTTGAGAGATTTAAGCGAAGATGATGCCGAAGGCTTTATTAAGTATTTGTTTATTCAGCAAAATTGCGACTCAAATTGAATTGATAGGCATTTTCGTATTAAAAGATGAGGTGGTAAATATACAAAAAAAATTTAGAATAAGAGTCACCATAGAAAACATGTATCTTTTTATTTACTTACGACAAGCAAATGTTTCGGTGCACAGTTTTGACCAACAAAATGAAAGCTTAAGAATACATACGTAGTATTCAAAACACTAGACATTAAATGGTAAACTGATATATTTTCTTCACTCAGTTTATTGCTCTAGATAGATTTCTGTTAAGTGAGGCTTCAAAAATCTCTCTACGGGCTCCAGCCTTTGGGACAATGGCTTGAAACTCGTGACTAAGTTTGAAGTACATTGCCTAGCTTATAGATTATGGTTATGCCTTTTGATTCTTTACCGAAGCTAAGTTACTTACGCCGTTTCATTTCGTAATGCCGGAGGGCGACCAGAGCCCGTACTATCAAAACCAAGTCTGGGTTTCTCCAGAATTATTATGTATAAGTCATAGCTTTCTCCTCGGGGAAGGAGTATTCGCTGGGCAGTCAGTAACGTCAGACTTTTCGATTCTCCAGGAGGGTACGCTACTTTCTCTTCGGCGATAAGAAATGAAGGGCTCAAAAGGGCGACCGAATCTGGACCGTGAAGAAAAGCATTAAATTGGAATAGAGTTCTCCTTAAAGGAACATTAATCCCATAAAAAGTTTTAGCTACACCCACAAAAAAACAATTCATTACAACGAAGAATACTTGAGGGAACATAAGAATGAATTTTCATGAATTGTCAACATAGCACACCTGGACTCTAATGAGAAATCGCATGTCCGTAGAGTCCAGACGTACTCTATTTTTAACAAACAACGGGAACGATAGGATGGGATAGGGTCTACAAATTTTATCGAGCGCAAAGCAAAGCATATAAAAGCCCTCTGAACAGACTCCAATCTATCAATATATCAGTGAAATCAGCAATCAGAAAACATAGCGAGTTAGTGCTTGTTGAAAAACTATCGCTAAGGGTAAGGCCGAGCTTTTTCTCCAATTTGTGGTGTGCGTCTTGATTTTGTTACACAAAGGGGACCTCCGAACGGCAAATAGGTTTTATCAGAAGTTTTTTTTTTTTTAAGAACACGAGTATGGAGGATTTCTCGACTTCCAGCATCCGCGCCTTTATTTTGAAAATGATGCCACTACTTCACTCTTTATCAGCAGTTGTTTAGCTTTCTCCAAGCTCAGGTTATAAATTACTGCGCAATGCCATGGTGGGAATTGATACTGTGCCCTGCAATTTTTGGAAATCCCTCACTTTGTCTCGAAATGTAAGAAGTTTCAAAAAATTAATGGGAAGGTCTTTCCTCTAACAAACAAAACAGTTCAGCCGATTAACTTTAGAAAGGATCATAGTGCATAGTCTAAGGTATTGAAGTCTTCACTATCCAATGTCCAGTCAACCGCAGAAACCATGGTAGAAACGTTACTCTTGAACCATGTCCATATTGCAGTGAACAAAAAATACAACCTATCGTGCTTCTTTCAAACAAAACAACAACCACGCTGTCAAGTTTAAATAGCGGCAAATTAACTGCACTTGATAGCAGTAGGTTGAATAAGGAAAAATGAATTAGCAACACGAGTTTGCGGGGTGAGCATAGCTCAGTGGTTAACGTTTCTGACACGCTTTGTACATCGATGACGCGGATTCGATCCCTGCTAAAGTCTAGAAAAAATAAAACTGATGAGGAGATGTGGTGATCTCCGAAATAGCTGCTATAACTTCTGCCGCTTAGACTTTGTTGCCGTTTCCATTTTTCCTAATAAAATAATCGTGGTACAAAGCTAAAGAAAAAATATTAAAAAAACACTTATGATTTAGTGACCAGCTGTATTTCGTCTACCTTAAATAATTAAACTTTTAAGGATATTTTTTTTTTTAGGATTTCGTTACTCTTTCGTTATACTTCACAATTGCTTTTTGTACCTTTTATGAACTTGAAATGGTATTATAATTTCGTCCGATGTTTGTAATTAGCAGAAAAAGAAGAGATAGACCCTTGAAAATATGTATTTAAATGATCATAACGTCGGGGTGAGCCGAATTAGCTGTGTCTGTCTGTAGGTCTGTTTGAACGCAATCTAGTCCCTAAGTTTTCGAGATACCGACTGAAATTTAGTAGCTGGTGTATTTTTATAGTGAATTAATCATTTGCCGGAACGAGATCAATTTGATCACTGTAACATAAATATATAGCTCCCATACAACTGCTTGTTTAGATATGAGATTTTTTTTTTATAACTCCTCCATTTAAGAAGCTAGGAACATGAAATTTCGTATTATTATAACTCATTATACACAGAAACTTATAATGAAAATGACAAAGATCAGTTCACTATTATCCATAGCCTCAATATAACTGAATGTTCAGATATGGGGGTTTACTTTGAAACTCCTTCATTGGGATAGCTAAAACCGAGCATTTCGTTAGCTAATTTTTAAATTAATTATACAAAGTCTACAGAGCAAATCATCAAGATCGGTCTGAAAATCATTTAGATCTATTTTTAAGGGGCATATCTTCCATAACAATGGCTGTTTAGATATGAGATTTTTTTTAAATATCTCCTCTATGTATAAACACAGA